CTCTTAAAACAAAAAACAAAGAAAAAAATTGTTGGGAATGAACTATTATTATATTGAAATACAGAATAACCTTTTCGACAAAAAAAAAAAAGCAATTACAAAAATATCACTAATTATAAATTTATAAAATTTTTATCTTACAATTCTAAACTCTAAAAAATGTTTTGACACCTAAAACCCCCTAAACACTCAAAATTAAACCCTAATAGAACATAATTAACCCAAACATAAATAATATAAAGAAAAAATAATTTTGAAAAAGTGGCTTTTGTAAAGATTTCAAAAGTGTGGCATTTTTGTAAAGTGACACTTGAAAAGTGGTATTTTTTGAAATTGCTAAAAAAAAATAATAATAATAACCTCATCTTGGTTGAAATTTTTTTGTTTTTGTTTTTGATAATTATCTTAATAAATTGTTTATGTATTCAACAACCAACATGATCAGATTTACAAATTAATATAGATACACTAATAAGATATTTGGATAGAACTTGTGCCTCATCTACAAATTGTTTTTGTTTTAGTCCCTAAATCAAATAGAAACTAATACTTTATGTATCTTATAAGAAATTTATAAACTCGTGGCTCACTTTGACTAATTAGCTACAGAATGTGAACTAAAGAGTAAAGACCTTTAGACTAGAAGACAACATCTCTGTCCATATCAAATCCATAACCAAACAACTGTCTGAAATTGATTACAAGTTTCCAATACTAATTATTAGCATCGCAGTTTTCATAGATTTTGACAGATAAAATCGGTAATGTGAACTCAGAGAAGATAGTAGTTGCCTTGAAAGGAAACAAGAATACAATTTTGTCAACAAGTTCACAAATTGCTCTAAACTCACTACCATCAAATATCTTTGGATGGGTTTTCATTAAAACTTCAAATCTTTTTTACATTTCTAGGTAGAAAGAATATACTCAAGATGGAATTTGTTCAAACAACACTCACTTCTGTTTCCATGGTGATAATTCGCTACAGAGGATATTAAGTTCTTGGTGATTGATTGTGATGGCTGCTCTAGAGAGCTCAAGACTGCTTCAACAAGTACTGAGGAGATGCATCGGTTGGTTCTTGGAGGAGATCTCGAGCAAGTCGGACTGGTATCTCTCGTAGATACGCAATGTCGCTGTTTGGTGCTGTTATGAGATGATGATCTGATCCTTCTCCATCTGTTTCGTCTGACACAGAAGATGCAACTGATTCTTCTGATCCATCATTATCATCTACAATGGAGATATAAAACAAAATGGTTTCATCAGAAACCCAACAAGAAGAGAAAACGTGAGAGATTCTTTGACACTAACTTACCAGAGAACTCGAGAGCTTCGGGATGTCTAACCGATGACATCTGTATGCTTTCTGGAAGGATACAATTACAGAAAGAACCTGGAGGAATTCAAGAATAAGCAAACATGTAAGATGATCCGAACAACAAGAACCGATCTAAGAAATAAGCTGGAAGATACATAAGAAAGTTGTCTTACCTACTCGAGCCATTCGATTAATCCATCCAGGAATAGGCTTTCCTGTTACCTGCAAGCATACTTCCTCAGTGAAATGGTTACAGTTCTTGGCAATCAAATGATATGTGTCCCCGTGATATTTTCTAGAAAGCTTCTCCATGAATGATCGGAAATCTGAACGAGACATGCTGGTGGTTCCCAACAAAACTGACCGCCTAAAGATGAAACCTGGACAGCTCTTAGGTTCAACCTCAAATACCCCGCTGCTCGAATACTCGTGAGCACCATATCCATATTCGAAACCATGAGCTGGTATAGGTAGACATAACCATGTGAAAAAAACTCATGTTAGATAGGCATTTAGCAATAATAAAAGCTATAGGTCCAGCGAAAATATAATAATAACTCGTCAGGTAAGTTCTAATTATCGAACGAGAAAGTTTCACACAACCGGGCAGGAGTAAACTACAATTTGAACTGGTTTCCATTCTAGATTCCTCACTAGTCACTACTTCTCCACTTTTTTTTTTTTTCTAACTACGTGTTCCATAAGTAATAATAAACAACATTGTCTGAAAAACTACGCACTGTCGCCTAATTGATAAATCACAAGTCGTCCAGAACAGTTATGTTACCAAAATACTCTGATAACATAATCAGTACGTTGTCTTTAAACATGATACAGATGAAACGCAAAAGAGAAAGCGACACTATCCTATGAATTAGCAGGATACATCGACTAAAAATAAGGAACATTGTAGAGAAAGGTTTGATTAGGGTCAATCAATTTATCCAAAAGAGGAGAGTGTAAAGAGAAGAAGCCACAATTTACCTTCAATTCCTGAGTGAAATATCCCAAGCCCAAACCAATAGAGATAATTGTTGACAGGCGTTAGATCATACACGTTGAGATACACCGGCGTGAGACCAGTCTCTCCAATGACCTCATCATCTTCCTTATCCACACTTGAGCACAAGCTTGAGCTCAAGCCAAGAACCCTCATTTTATACACAAACGCTAATTACAGTCTTCCAATTCCAACATCAAGATTTCAATCATCCATTTTGGTTTCCCTCCTAAACCTCTGCAAAACTAAAATCGAAAGGATTTCAACAGAGACACAGTAACAATCTACTCTTTTTGAGACATCAAGCTTTCAAATATAGTAACATCAAGAATCCGAAAGGGAACTTCTTTCGTGACTTTGAGAATAATAGATTAAAGAAGCTGAATCAGAACAAAAATTGAAGTAAATACGCAAATTCCTAAATCAAGAAATCCAAAGATTCAATTTTTTTCCGGCATTTTCTGAGTAGCAACAAGAGGGTCAAGCAGAGAGATGCACACCTAAATTGAGACGAACTCAGCTAAAACTGAAGAGCTATAGAGAGACAAATCAACGAGATTTGTCCCCGAAAAACAAACCCGAACGCAAAATCCATGAACTACCTCAATCGAAAGATCCCCAAGACGAAAATCAAAATCGAGAGAGAACTTTTACTAAGACATTTCCACGAAAATCGAACAAATAC